AATGAACGCAGAAAGCGGGAATATAAATTTTGCTCAGCGCATTGAAAATATCACAAAAATACCACACTATCTATAATTCTTTGGAGGGCTTTGCTGTCCGCTGTCGAACAACTGATAAATAAGGTTGGCTGGCCCCAGATTCTACATGATAGATTTTATGTTTTTGTTTTACTTAATGCGAACAAAGACACAAACTGAATATGATCACCCATTGAATTGTATAGAAAATAAAATTTTACATTTACGAAAAAATACTGTGTCAATTCGACCTCCAAGGAACGCAGAGAAATTGATTGATTCGTTTTTACGGCTTGGCAGGTTATTTAAAGCCAAAAAATATTTTTAGATTTGTAAGAATTTTTGTTTTTCGTTTTTGGAAATAATAATGGTTTAGTTATACAAATCTTAATAATTAACCCATAGCTGGGGGTGGAGAAGTAGTAGATTCAGTACTAATCAGAATTTGATAAACAAACAAGAAATTATTATGGCGACATAAAGTCGGGGATCAACTCTACATTACAATCATCATATAAACTGATCCCTCACTTTGTGGTCATGTTAGTTTCTATACATTTATATTCCACAAAATGCAAATAAGGCTAAAAGGCATGTCTGCGTATCTAACCAGTATTTCATTAATTGATTGATTCGTTTTTTACGGCTTATCTACTCTTTGCTGGTTATTTAAAGCCAGAAAATATTTTTAGATTGTAAAATTTTGGGGGAGATACAAGACTTAATAATTATCCCATAGCTAGGGGGAGAAGAGATGCCTTCATACCTTTCCCGAGGTTATTTGTGAGTAAGTAATTATAACGAACCCGACTGGAACTGAAACTCCGAAATTCCGAGCCATTACCCGTTACATGGCTTGCACGTACAAACATATGGTATTTCCAAGCAGTCACCTATCTAGGTACTGACCAGACTCGACGTTGCTTAACTTCGGTTATGCGTCTAATTGCCCTATTCTAATAGTAATGATATTAACATTAATTCCTGGCTACTGACAATCCCTTTCTTCCTCATTTCCGTTGTATTCCTATAGTAAAATCCTTAACAATGCATTTACATTATATACATATTAGCATATACATATATCAATCCTATAATATATCAAGATGGAGATTGAACAGAATAAGTTAGAGATAGATAGATAGATAGATAGATAGATAGATAGATAGATAGATAGATAGATAGATAGATAGATTATGGGCAGGTGTAGATAGATAGATAGATAGATAGATAGATAGATAGATAGATAGATAGATAGATAGATAGATAGATAGATTATGGGCAGATAGATAGATAGATAGATAGATAGATAGATAGATAGATAGATAGATAGATAGATAGATAGATAGATAGTGAATAGGCAAATATAGATAGTGTATGGGCATAGATAGATAGATAGATAGATAGATAGATAGATAGATAGATAGATAGATAGATATGGATGGATTATGAGCAGGTCTATAGATAGATAGATAGATAGATAGATAGATGGATAGATAGATAGATAGATAGATAGATAGATAGATAGATAGATAGATAGATTATGGGCGGGTGTGAATAGATAGATGGATAGATGATAGATAGATGGATAGATGGATAGATAGATAGATGGATGGATAGATAGATTATGGGCGGGTGTAAATAGATAGATAGATAGATGGATAGATATTTGGATAGATAGATAGATAGATAGATGATGGATAGATTATGGGCGGGTGTGGAGATGGATTATGGGCGTTGGTGTGGATAGGATGGATAGATGGATGGATGGATAGATGGATAGATGGATGGATGGATAGATAGATGGATAGATTATGAGCAGGTGTAGATGGATAGATAGATATGATAGATAGATAGATGAATAGATGAATGGATGGATAGATAGATAGATAGATTATGAGCAGGTGTAGATAGATGGATGATGGATAGATAGATGGATAGATAGATGGATAGATGAATAGATGTAGATAGATAGATAGATTAGATAGGTGATAGATAGATAGATAGATAGATAGATAGATAGATAGATAGATAGATAGATTATGGGCAGGTGTAGATAGATAGATAGATAGATAGATAGATAGATAGATAGATAGATAGATAGATAGATAGATTATGAGCAGGTGTAGATAGATAGATAGATTATGGGCAGGTGTAGATAGATAGATTATGGGCAGGTGTAGATAGATAGATAGATAGATAGATAGATAGATAGATAGATAGATAGATAGATAGATAGATAGATAGATAGACGAATGTAGAGTGTGCGTGAATTATCGCAGACTGAAGGTTAAGAAACAATTTTGTAATTTTCCCGAATTAGCCATTTCGTCGCGGGAATGAAGTCGACTTATTTTTAATCTTCACTCTAAACAAATCTCATCTTAGCCGACCTTCATTCGTCTTCGGGAAGCCTATTAAATAAAACACAAACTCAAAATACATCTCTGCCTTTTTTTCCCCGCCACATAAAATGCGCACATTTTGTTTGGCCTCTTCGCTCGTACTTTTAAAAAATAAATCTCCCCCACCTCCTGTATGGTAGCAAATCGGAAAATGATTATGGACCTGGTAAAGAGAATTATTTGGCTTCATTCCAGACGTAAACGTGATCAACATAATCGAATCGGGGCCATTTTTTTTTTCACCTTAAATATCTACAGTTGAATAAATAAATAAATGTTGTCCGTTGGTAATTTTTTTTTTTCCAGGTGGGATGTTTTTAAACCAACACATAAAAACCTGCAAATTATTTGCAATTTAAGCTGAATTTCGATAAATAAAAGCACGGAAATATTTACGTCTAATGTTAGAAATTAATCGAAAAATCTCTCCAAAGAGGGAAATAAAACAGGCGCCATTCTGAATTGCGTAGTCAAAAGGCACGTAATTCTCGTCGGATAAAAACGTTTTTTTTTTTTGTTTGTTTTTGTTTTTGTTTTGAATTCTTTTGGGGGGGTGAGGAAGAATATTTTAGTAAAATCTAGTATATATCGATATAAATCTGTTTAGTTTGGCCAAAGAAAATTGAAAGAATTGTTAAACCTCTATTTTTTTTTTTTATCATTTCACCCCCAAGCAAAGGCAATAAAGCCACTAAGACGTAAGGGAATGTGAAAGAATATAGCATAAAGAAAATATTTAACGAGAAAGAACAGTAAAAGAACAAGAATTAAGAAGACACAATATAACCACTGATGTTGCATTTAAATTTTTTATGGTCAAAGTTGACTGGAAACAAAGAAGCCGGAAGTAAATTCCACAGGAAGAAATCGTGAAGTGATGAGACCTTTCCGCCAATCTAGTACTGCACTTAAATTCATAAAGTCTAGGTACCATAGGGGAAAGTTCACCAGAACAATTACCATGAAAATATTTATAGAAGCTGCATAGTGAAACTATGTTACGGCAATGGAAAAATGTCTGAAGCCGATGTGCCAAGTCAGGACCAATAATATTGCTGATTCTTCTTTGGATTTTATCAAGAATCTCTACATATATATCAAGAGCATCTGACCAGACAACAATATTTAAAGCAAGGAAGAACGGTAGAGTTAAAAATATGTAAAGTGTAAAATAGATTCTGGCAAGAAAATCTCTCTGAAATGACAGAGGAAGCAACTTTCCTAGGAACAATATATATATATATATAGACATTTTTATGTTTATACATTCTTTTTATAGATACAAATATTTAAGTAAATCGTCTGTTTATAATAAACAGTATTAAAAAACACTTACTGGCCTGAATGTCCGAGAAATATTCACAGACAATATTCGTCCTCCGACAGGATTCGAACCTGTATCCTATACGGAACACGTCATTTAGCTTGACATGCCTTTAACCGATTTGGCCACGAAGGAGCGTTCGGTTAGCAATGTCGAATTTACTGCTTTTAAACTTTAATTTTCCATAAATCTCTCACGTACATTCATATCTGCTCAAAGCGTATCCAAATGTAAACAAATGACGTCACACATTATGAAATGGACAAAATCCGACAATTATTTTAAGACATTTTTATGTTTATACATTCTTTTTATAGATACAAATATTTAAGTAAATGCTCTGTTTATAATAAACAGTATTAAACAACATTTACTGGCCTGAATGTCCGAGAAATATATATATATATATATATATATATATATATATATATATATTTAAAGATATTTTTGTAGGTACAAAATTTAATGATCGAAATAAAAGTATAAAAATTTAATATTACAAGACATATTAAACAATAAAAATTTTTTTTTAAAACAAAAAAAAACACAACAACGGGGTGGGGGAAGCAACCGGTTTCGCTCCCGCTCTTCAGGCTTCAACAGGAGATTCAAAATTAATACAGAAAAATGTACAATAAAAAGGAATAGGTGATATATATATATATATATATATATATATATATATATATATATATATATATATATATATACACACACATATATATATATATATATATATATATATATGCAGAAGGAACTAGAGACAGATGACAGCGAGTCCCAGCAAACACTCACGTTTTAATATGTCTTGTAAATTTAAATTTTATACTTTTATTTGATCACATATATATATATATATATGATTCAATATAATCTTTCCACTTCATGTCAGCCGAAAACGTTAGCCGAAGAAGATGCAAAGAGTCACTCTACGGGAGGTTAGCATCAGCCATGGAAGACAAAAAAGGGTTTTCTAAGAGGATTGAAAGAAAACCGTTTCGTTTTGCAAGCGTTGAAATTAACAGGCCATTTCTTACCCCAGTTAACAACAGATTCTGGCTCATTTTACAGAAACTGACAGTTAATTTGAATCGATCAGATTTAACATTCAGAACGGTGTAAATAGCAGTGTCATCTGGCGTAGATGCTGTGTTCAGACATCAGGAAGGTCCTTGATGAAAACTAGGAACAACGTTGGTCCATGGATTTTCGATTCCCAGCTTGTTAGTCATTACACCACCCGCACATCCAAGACTACAGCACCTGGTATTCCCAAGCGGTCGCACGTCTAGTTATTGACCAGTCTCAACGTTGCTTAACTTCGGTGATCGTACGGGAACCGATGATTCAACGTGATACGGCCGTAAGTTGTAGAGAGAGAGAGAGAGAGAGATCCATGAACTCTCACGTCATGAAAATGTTGGCATTTGAAGGAGGAGGTTTTTAGCACACACGGCGCGTGTTCAGCTCTCTTACCGTATCGTACGCTATCATCGGTTAGATAGTGATTTTCCAAGCTTAGCTTAGATGTGGCACAAGGCCGAATGAATGGGGCACCCAGTGAGGATCGAACTCGCTATTCAGTCGTAATTGTTCTAGCAAGACAAGCTTGCTAACCATTACACCGCTTCGAGGTGCCCACACAGCGTAGATGTGGCACAAGGCCGAAAGTATGGGACACCCAGTGAGGATCGAACTCGTTATTCAGTCGTAATTGTCCTATCGAGACAAGCTTGCTAAACATTACACCACGCCGAGGTGCCTGCTATCATCGTTTAGATATGCGCGATTTTCCAATTACGCGTAGTTTGTGGCACAAGGCGAAAGTATGAGGCACCCCGTAAGGATCGAACTCACTGCTCAGTCGTAATTGTCCTAGCGAGACAAGCTTTCTAACCATTACACCACCTCGAGGTGTCCTAACGGTTTTCTAAGCACAGCTTAGATGTGGCACAAGGCCGACAGTATGGGGCACCCAGTAAGGATCGAACTCACTACTCAGTCGTAATTGTTCTAGCGAGACACGCTTGCTAATAATTACACCACGCCGAGGTGCCTGCTATCATCGTTTCGATATAGGCTCTTCTTCAGCGCTGCCGAAAATATATAACCACTGGTAGGTAGGTATTTTTTCTAACATTTATCTCCCCCAAACAAGAAAGGGCATTAGTCATTTATGACCACTGTGAACAATGTTCAATGTGTGTGCGTCATTTATCTCTATATAATCAGTGGCTTCGCGCGCGTTTTTTAATATAAAAATTTGTGGTCATTATTCTTTATGTGTCGGGTGTCATCTTCGTGTAAAAATAAATTGGAGGCATTACTTTTGAAGCATTTCGTTTTTTTATTCTTTTCCTTCCCCAACCCCTTCTAGACATATTTTACGCAGTACGTTTTAAAAAATAAATAAATAAATAAATAAAATAAAATAAAATAATTAAATTAAAATAAAATAACACGGGATGGACAAGCGAAAGTTATTAACTATTAGCCTATTGGTGATTTGTTTTGCTTTTTTTTTTGCTTTTTTTTTGTTATTCAACCCACAATCCCGGTTCATTTCGAAGAATATTGCTCAAGGTTAGTCGACAGGATTTAATTCTGTTTGTGAATTTAAAAGTTTTGTGGTTTTATGAATGGACCGTTAATTAGCCAGGCACTGAAGACATAGTAATAGATATATTACATGCCAAGTACGGCAATGGCGACCGGCTCCGTTCGCATGAAGACCATTGGCCATAACAGTCGCAGGCGGAGCTGATAATGGCCGAGAAATGATAAATGGAGGCAGCATGTTGAGTGGTTCGTGAATTCTTTTATATAACGTTTTATTGACGAAACTTTTCAATTGTAATATCGATAATTGTAGCCAACGTGATTACGAGGGTTTCAGATGATGACGTCTCGGGGGAAAAACTGGAATGTTTAAGCTAATCCCAGTCCCCGAAAATATTCTTATATTTTTTTTTTTTAGTCTCGACAGAATGTTTTCCATCTTGGGAAAATAAAATAAAAATTAAAAATTAAAAAATCAAATATTGTTCTACACGGTACTTTTATTATCTTGAGTGTAGCTATCTATATATAAAATTCTGACACTTCCGTCACAGCCTCTAAAGTCGCCATACATTGACCACAAACCAAATTTTGGCTACGCATCATCTCTAACTGTTCAAAAAGTGGCTTTTTAGAATGATGAAATATCATCATCATTCTAGATCAATCAGTGGCTTGCATTACGTCATTTATCTACCAAGAAAGGAGTGGCTTTGAGCTCTGCATTTCAATGAACAATTTTACGTCATTTATCTTACCTGTGCTCCGGGTCAAAATTTTGCAAAAAATTTGGTGGCATTTATTTACCACTGTTCAATCATGGCTTTCCAATAGTTACAAGTGTTTACCACTTTTCAACCGGTGGCTTTGCATTACGTCATTTTTCTCTACCACTGTTCAATCAGTGGCTGGGCATTACGTCATTTTCTCTCTACCACTGTTCAACTTTTCTTTCATTTATCCACCACTGTTCAATCAGTGGCTTTTGCATTACGTCATTTATCTCTACCACTGTTCAATCAGTGGCTGGGCATTACGTCATTTATCTCTACCACTGTTCAATCAGTGGCTGGGCATTCGTCATTTTCTCTACCACTGTTCAATCAGTGACTGGGCATTACGTCATTTATCTCTACCACTGTTCAATCGGTGGCTGGGCATTACGTCATTTTTCTCTACCACTGTTCAATCAGTGGCTGGGCATTACGATTTATCTCTACCACTGTTCAATCAGTGGCTTTGCATTACGTCATTTTCTCTACCACTGTTCAATCAGTGGCTGGGCATTACGTCATTTTTCTACCACTGTTCAATCAGTGGCTTTTGCATTACGTCATTTTTCTCTACCACTGTTCAATCAGTGGCTGGGCATTACGTCATTTTCTCTACCACTGTTCAATCAGTGGCTGGGCATTACGTCATTTTTCTCTACCACTTCAATCAGTTCAATCAGTGTTCAATCAGTGGCTGCTGGGCATTTTTTTTCGTACCACTTTGGCTCGTCATTTATCTCTACCACTGTTCAATCAGTGGCTGGGCATTACGTCATTTTTCTCTACCACTGTTCAATCAGTGGCTTACGTCATTTATCTCTACCACTGGGCATTACGTCATTTATCTCTACCACTGTTCAATCAGTGGCTGGGCATTTACGTTCAATCATTTTCATTTATCTCACCACTGTTCAATCAGTGGCTGGGCATTACGTCATTTATCTCTACCACTGTTCAATCAGTGGCTGGAGTCATTTATCTCGTCATTTTTTCTCTCTACCACTGTTCAATCAGTGGCTGGGCATTACGTCATTTATCTCTACCACTGTTCAATCAGTGGCTTTGCATTACGGCTCTACCACTGTTCAATCAGTGGCTGGGCATTATTTATCTCTACCACTGTTCAATCAGTGGCTTTGCATTACGTCATTTATCTCTCTACCACTGTTCAATCAGTGGTCTGTTCAATCAGTGCTTTGCATTACGTCATTTATCTCTACCACTGTTCAAACACCACTGGCTGGGCATTACGTCATTTATCTCTACCACTGTTCAATCAGTGGCTGCATTACGTCATTTATCTCTACCACTGTTCAATCAGTGGCTGGGCATTACGTCATTTATCTCTCTAATCACTGTTCAATCAGTTCAATCAGTGGCTTTGCATTTTACGTCATTTTTGCTCATCTTTATCTACCACTGTTCAATCAGTGGCTGGGCATTACGTCATTTTCTCTACCACTGTTCAATCAGTGGCTTTGTCATTTATCTCTGCACTGTTCAATCAGTGGCTTTGCATTACTCAACCACTGTTCAATCAGTGGCTTTTGCATTACGTCATTTATCTCTACCACTGTTCAATCAGTGGCTTTGCCTTTACGTTCAATTTTTTTCTCATTTACTCACCACTGTTCAATCAGTGGCTTTGCATTACGTCATTTATCTCTACCACTGTTCAATCAGTGGCTGGGCATTACGTCATTTATCTCTACCACTGTTCAATCAGTGGCTTTGCCTACGTCATTTATCTCTACCACTGTTCAATCAGTGGCTTTGCATTACGTCATTTATCTCTACCACTGTTCAATCAGTGGCTGGCATTACGTCATTTATCTCTCTCCACTGTTCAATCAGTGGCTTTGCATTACGTCATTTATCTCTACCACTGTTCAATCAGTGGCTTTGCATTACGTCATTTATCTCTACCACTGTTCAATCAGTGGCTTTGTTCAATCCGGTTTTGCGTCATTTATCTCTACCACTGTTCAATCAGTGGCTTTGCATTACGTCATTTATCTACCACTGTTCAATCAGTGGCTTTGCATTACGTCATTTATCTCTACCACTGTTCAATCAGTGGCTTTGCCTTACGTCATTTATCTCTACCACTGTTCAATCAGTGGCTTTGTCATTTATCTCTTAACACCGCATTTCGTCATTTATCTCTACCACTGTTCAATCAGTGGCTGGGCGATTTTACTCTACCACTCTGTTCAATCAGTTATTAAAGTCTTTATCTCACTGTTCAATCAGTGGCTTTTTGCATTACGTCATTTATCTCTACCACTGTTCAATCAGTGGCTGGGCATTACGTCATTTATCTCTACCACTGTTCAATCAGTGGCTTTTGCCTTTCATTTATCGTTCAATTTATCTCTACCACTGTTCAATCAGTGGCATTACGTCATTTATCTCTACCACTGTTCAATCAGTGGCTTTGCATTACGTCATTTATCTCTACCACTGTTCAATCAGTGGCTGGGCATTACGTCATTATCTCTACCACTGTTCAATCAGTGGCTGGCATTACGTCATTTATCTCTACCACTGTTCAATCAGTTCAATCATTTATCTCTACCACTGTTCAATCAGTGGCTTTTGCATACGTCATTTTATCTCACCACTGTTCAATCAGTGGCTTTGCCTTTACGTCATTTATCTCTACCACTGTTCAATCAGTGGCTTTGCCTTACGTCATTTATCTCTACCACTGTTCAATCAGTGGCTTTGCATTACGTCATTTATCTCTACCACTGTTCAATCAGTGGCTTTTTGCATTACGTCATTATCTCACCACTGTTCAATCAGTGGTCATTTATCTCTACTGTTCAATCAGTGGCTTTTGCATTACGTCATTTATCTCTACCACTGTTCAATCAGTGGCTTTGCTTTATGTCATTTATCTCTACCACTGTTCAATCAGTGGCTGGGCATTACGTCATTTATCTCTACCACTGTTCAATCAGTGGCTTTGGCATTACGTCATTTATCTCTCTTTACCACTGTTCAATCAGTGGCTTTGCATTACGTCATTT